GCAGTTGTTGACTGTGGACTGTCATTGTGATAACTACATACTTGTAAATTGTTAACTGTGCAGCTTTAGTTAAGGTACAACATCTGGAGCTAGTTGATGAAGAGATATAGTTCTTCTTCAACTATTGAAAAGGAGTGAGGTTCGAACCCACAACATCAAACCACATCAGGAAAAGCCTTTAATAATAGAGCTATTGCAGGTCCTGATGTAGGTTCTCACCAAACAGACTCATTAAAAAGGTCTTCTCAATGTCATGTGGTATGCATTATACATTAGCCCTTTTATATTTGTATAAATCAACCGCAGTTCAGCACTGTGTAAGTAGCTGATTGATGAATCTTTCAATTCAACTGTCTTCATTTTGGTATTAAGCGAGGGTTCTCCAAACCCGCCTATTCACATAATTCATACCCACCTTAGACTCTGGTCAGTCAAAATGACTATTTTGAACTGTAGGCATTAATCAGCGATTCTGTCGGTGACTGAGAGATAGAATCTAGGTCAGGGGAAGCCCAATGACCCCAAGATTTTTTACCCTCTACGTCACAAACCCACATGACCGAGGCCACATGGCAGCGCCATAGGCAGCCATACAATCACTCTTTCTTTCATCTGCGCCTCGTCAGGAATGATTCTGAGCAGCTCTGCCTGGCTCTGTTGCCTTTTCCTGTCCGGGTTTCTAGCGTGGGTCGTCGCCGCAGCAGTAATAGCAACTTATATTAATGATTGTAAATGCCACAGTTATGGTCAGCATCTTATAAGCATAATTGACCTTTGTATGATCATATAAACACACTGACTCCTGTAATTACCTATACTACACTTCTCATTTACTACTTTATTTAGCATCTGTTTAACTATGTCTAATAAATTCAGATGAAAATACTGTACCTGGAGTGTCAATGATATTGATATGTTTTCCTTTCCACGTTGTATAAGTTGCAGCTGACTGGATAGTGATACCTCTTTCCCGTTCCAGATCCATGGAATCCATCGTTGCTCCTACTCTATCTTTTCCTTTCACCTGACAATGTTAAACAATAGAGAAATTAGTGACACATTCTTTCAATTAGAAAGCACACATAAACCAAAAATTGCATTTATTGTATTTTAAATCATTAATAAACAACTTTTTACTCTGTAATACACCACTTTCATTTCACGAGAGACACATTTGTTGTGAAAAAACACAACATTTTCTACCAGTGTAAATTTCTCTGCGGTCCAACTACAGGGAGCGTTAGCGACTTTCACTGTTGTCTTTACAAATGCCACAAAAGCCTGAACATAAAGTACTAGTACACATAAACGCTTGCACTGGCTAAGAGCAAATACAGTATATGGAATGCACAGAATATTGCATATCTATCCTAATGGAATCTTAAACATAACACCTCAATGACATTTTTAATTGATTCCTTAGGACAACGTATTTTAGACTAAGAATAATATTTCCAGGCTGGACTTAGTAATAGCAAGCACACATAGAAATGTCTCTTTTATATGAACATCGTTGCTTTAAGAAAGCACCATACTCAAAATGAGATAGTCTCATGATAATAACAAAACAGTTGTATTATATAAGAGAACAATGGCTTAGCTAAATTACTGAAGAGTGAGAGGGACTTCTGAACTGAGCTCTGTAAATATTACAACATTAAAAGACTTGCCTCATGCATTTCTTCAATCCTCCCAGTGTAATAAAGTATTCTTTCTGTTACTGTCGTCTTACCAGAATCAATATGTGCAGATATACCAATATTACGCATATCTTTCACATCAACCTGTTTGAGAAAAAATAACCTTCAATACACCTGATTGTAAGTTGCAAGTATTTAACTGTGACATCAAAATAATACAGAATGGTGTAGGCATGTCGATGGTTTAATTTCTGTTCATTATCTGAAATATACTAAATCTCTCAAAAACTTTTTATTTTTGATGAACTACTAACAATATTGATGCCATGAAGGGAATGCTGTCCTTTTACCAATTTATGTAAGTGGGCATGACATATTTCCATTCAACATGGTCATGGCGGTACAGAAGTTTGACTTACAAAACACAGCAAATACTTACATACGAACACAATAAAGATAATTATTATTATTACATGTATATGTACATCACAAAGTATAATCACTCTGGTACAGCTGTTTGATCTAATTATAGATCAATATAGTATAAGCGGCTGTCCTTAATTATCGGTATAGGTCACCAAGTTAAAATAGATCCACACAATGTGATCACTGGTCAATGTCCTACATATGTTTGACCTAACCATGGGTCACTGTGGTAAAGGTGTTTGACCTATCTAAGGTCCTCTCTGGTAAAGGTGTTTGACCTAACTATGAATCAATGTGGTACATGTGTTTGACCTAACTGTGGGTCACTGTGGTAAAGGTGTTTGACCTATCTAAGGTCCTCTCTGGAAAAGGTGTTTGACCTAACTATGAATCAATGTGGTACATGTGTTTGACCTAACTATGAATCAATGTGGTACATGTGTTTGACCTAACTATGAATCAATGTGGTACATGTGTTTGACCTAACTATGAATCAATGTGGTACATGTGTTTGACCTAACTATGAATCAATGTGGTACATGTGTTTGACCCAATCATGGGTCACTGCGGTATAGGTGTATGACCTAACTATGGGTCAATGTGGTACATGTGTTTGACCTAACTATGAATCAATGTGGTACATGTGTTTGACCCAATCGTGGGTCACTGTGGTACATGTGTTTGACCTAACTATGAATCAATGTGGTACATGTGTTTGACCCAATCGTGGGTCACTGTGGTACATGTGTTTGACCTAACTATGAATCAATGCGATACATGTGTTTGACCCAATCGTGGGTCACTGTGGTAAAGGTGTTTGACCTATCTAAGGTCTTCTCTGGTAAAGATGTTTGACCCAACTATGAATCAATGTGGTACGTACATGTGTTTGACCCAATCATGGGTCACTGCGGTATAGGTGTATGACCTAACCATGGGTCACTGTGGTAAAGGTGTTTGACCTAACTATGGGCCAATGTGGTACATGTGTTTGACCTAACTATGGGTCAATGTGGTACATGTGTTTGACCTAACTATGGGTCAATGTGGTACATGTGTTTGACCTAACTATGGGTCAATGTGGTACATGTGTTTGACCTAATCATGGGTCAATGTGGTACATGTGTTTGACCTAATTATGGGTCAATGTGGTACATGTGTTTGACCTAACTATGGGTCAATGTGGTACATGTGTTTGACCTAACTATGGGTCAATGTGGTACATGTGTTTGACCTAACTATGGGTCAATGTGGTACATGTGTTTGACATAATCACTGGTTATGTAATAGCTAATGAAAGAGTTTGTTAGATTAGGAGTCATAAAATGAGGAAGCGAAGCCCTGAGTAATTGACATATAATCTACCAAACAAGCAGCCTGTTGGCTGAGATAGCTCCGCTGTTAGCAATGCACATTTCAATTAAAGAACTTAAGATATCATTAGACAAGCCATGCATGGCACAGTTCCCATTAGTTATCAAATTTAAGATACATAGTTTTGTTTATAGTAATATAGCTGGAATATAACCATGTCAGGAATATTATTTTTTAACATTAAAATGATTGACATTTGTATCTGATCGTCAAACAAGTACTTGTCCATATTGAGAGATATTGCATTCAAAATCAGCCATTTTGAATACATGTATATATATATATATATATA